CTTACGGAGGAAAGATTCTTATTCCACTTCCCCATGGATAAAAAAGGGAAAAATTAATAAGACCAAGAACTTTTAAAGATAAAATAAAAGAAAACTCAGATGAGTGTGTATGAATAAATGTGTATATGTATGTGTAGTGTGACCTAAGTGTAAGTAGAAGTAGCAAGACATGCCTGTAATTCTTGCATATTTATGAGACAGACAAAAGACATCAGCAATCCTACCATCATGTAAAACAATTACAGGCTTTCGTTTTACACTCACTTGGCAGGACGGTAGTACCCCCCTGGGTGGTTGCTGTCTACCAACCAAATACCTACAAATATAAAATATTATATATATTTTAAATATATATATATAAATATACATATATATATATATATATATATATATATATATATATAAAATAATATATATATATATATATATATATATTATATATATATATATAATATATACAGTGGCCCCCCGGTTAACGAACTTTTTTCATTCCAGTAGTATGTTCGGGGTGCCAGTACGGGACCGAAATTTTTTCCCATAAGGAATATTGTGAAATAGATTAGTCCTTTCAGCCCCCCCAAAAATACACGTTTCAAACGGGCCCTTTCATAAATACACTTACATAATTGGTCGCATCTGGAGGTGATCGTTAAGCGGGGGTCCACTGTATATATATATATATATATATTTATTTATATGTGTATATATAATATATATATATATATATATATATAAATATATATATATATAAAATATATATATATATATTATATATATATATATTACATATATATTTTCTCTTATAGTCGGACCTGAGTCCTGGAAATTTGGGGAAGTACAATGCCTGCACTTTAAAGGAGGGGTTTGGGATATTGGCAGTTTGGAGGGATATGTTGCGTATCTTTATACGTATATGCTTCTAAGCTGTTGTATTCTGAGCACCTCTGCAAAAGCAGTGATAATGTGTGTGTGGTGAAAGTGTTGAATGATGATGAAAGTATTTTCTTTTTGGGGATTTTCTTTCTTTTTTGGGTCACCCTGCCTCGGTGGGAGACGGCCGACTTGTTGAAAAAAAAAATATATATATACAGTGGACCCCCGCATAACGATTACCTCCAAATGCGACCAATTATGTAAGTGTATTTATGTAAGTGCGTTTGTACGTGTATGTTTGGGGGTCTGAAATGAATAATCTACTTCACAATATTCCTTATGGGAATAAATTCGGTCAGTACTGGCACCTGAACATACTTATGGAGTGAAAAAATATCGCTAACCGGGGGTCCACTGTATATATATTTACACACACACACAGTTGGGCCCCGCTTTACGGCGTTCCGCTAATACGGTCATTTCAAATTATGACCAAAACTCGCTATATGGCTCCCCCACCTGACTTTCTAATACGGTCACTGCGCCCCACCCAGTTTGTTTACATTCTCTGTGAGATCCGTAAGCACTAAGTCTCTCTCCATTTTGTCTGGAAACTCCAAAATTTCAAGTGTTTTTAAAAGTTATTTCATATTTTATATACACTCTGATAATTATACTTATGTATACCTGTACCTAAATAAGCTTACACACTGTGCTGGCGTGCAGGTACACATTAAAATCAGTAAGTGTGTCTTAGGTCTCCAGACGTCATATTAGTAATGATAATAATAATCATCGAGTCTCATTTAAATGTCGTATATTACGTTAATACATGTATACACATTTTCATTAATCCATCTATGATATTTTTACAAAATTATATAATAAATACGATTCATAACATATAAAGATGATAAATACACCCCATAATAGAATAAATAAACATAAATATGAGATGTGGTAGCAGACGACTTGCACAAGTGACGCCATATTAGAAATAATAATAATAATAATAATAATAATAATAATAATAATCACCGAGTCTCATTTAAATGTTGTATATTACGTTAATATATACATTTTCATTAATCCATCCATATTTTTTTCAAAATTACATAATAAACACGATACATAACATATAAAGATGATATATACACCCCACAATAGAATAAACATAAATATGAGATGTAGTAGCCAGACAACTTGTACAAGTGACGCCAAGAATAACATTTTCTCTAATCTAAGATAAATGTGTTACTGGGGGTAACTGTAGAAAATTATTGCTTTCGTATGTATGGAAGTAAGTTTATTCAGGTATGCACAAATACAGTTACATAGATTATCATACATAACAGCATATATGTAGAGGACCTAGGATAACCCAAAAAATCAGAATGACTTATTTCCATTGCTTTCACTCAGAGCGTCATTTCTTCTCAAAATGATGTTACATGAGAATGGGAGTGTTCTTCTTTATTTATTCTACAATATCAATGTAGAGACAACTTGTACACAATGTAACTTGTACACAAACTAGACGTGTACACTTTGTTGTTTACAAAACTTACCTTTGCCTGGTTTGTTTACATAACTCTGCGCCTGTTCTCCCTCATGCACTCATTCTTTCTCTCTCTCATTTATTCGTTTTATCTCATTTACTTACTCCTGACCCTACATTAAGACTACAAATATTTTAAGGTAAGTCATGAGTGAACTGTATATACATTTTATCACTCTGGGATGCTTAAATATCATAGAATTGTATGTGTGGGTGGGGTGGCCTGGTATGGTAGCCCGGCTGACTACCATACATACCACACTTGATTTCTTACAATAAATACTACTTGTCTCACCCTAGATTAAGACTATAAATATTTTAAGGTAAGTAATGAGTGCACTATGTGTGTATTGTACTTTTTTATTGTTTTTTGATGCCTAGTTCTATTGCTAACTTAATATATGTTAGTGTAAACTTGTTATCTAGTACTTGTATGCATTTATAAGTGGAAAAAAAGTGTGTTCCACTTTACGGCAATTTCCGCTCTAGGCAGTAGCCTGGAACCTAACCTGCCGTATAAGTGGGGCCCTACTGTATAATTTTTTTTTTTTAACAAGTCGGCCGTCTCCCACCAAGGCAGGGCGACCCAAAAAGAAAATACTTCCATCATCATTCAACACTTTCACCTCATACACACATAATCACTGTTTTTTGCAGAGGTGCTCAGAATACAACAGTTCAGAAGCATATACGTATAAAGATACACAACATATGCTCATCTATTTGTGCTTGCAGGGATTGATTCTCAGATCCTGGCACTGCTTCTTAACTTGCCACTCTTCAGATTCACTCCCTCACAGCCTCATGGGGTCTATCGTACCTACTCTTAAACTATGTATGGAGTATGAAGCTTGCCTCTTCTGTTTCCTGAAAACTCTGAGACTTAAAAATACTTCCTAAAATCCTTACAAGCCTTGTGGCATACTTCCGTAGTTTCTCCAATTTCTTAAAATGCTTTTTCAGGTGCAGGTACCATACTAATGCTGCATATTCCAAAATGGGTCCAGAATGACTCTTTGTTGAGATTCCTGAAGGCTTTTCTTAGATTTATCAGATGTACATTAGCTGCAGAGGTAATTTAGATGATGTGAGCCTCTGGCAATGTTATACCAGGCATTATGCTCCTTCTAGTGTATATCCTATTTCCAGTCTTCTTGCTCCTTCCCCAATCTTCATGACCTTGCATTTGCTGGGGTCAAATTCAAGCAACTACATATCTGGCCAGTTTTGTAATTTGTCTAGATCCCCTTGGAGCCTTCTCTTGTCCTCATCTGTATTTATTCACATCATCATCAAACAGGGATACATGTGAATCAATCTCATCTGACATGTCATTCACATAAACCAGAAACCTTACAGAACCCTGCTAGTTACTCTTCCCCATTCTGATGTTTCTTACCTGACAATAACGCTCTGCTTCCTTACCCTAAAATTCTCTTTGATCTACTGGAGTATGCTCCTTGTTTTTCCTGCCTGAATCTCAAAGTTTCTGACCCAGTCTCTAGCAGTCTTAAAATAATGCAATCCACCCATCCACCATTCGGTCCCCTACCCCTACACCGAACCCAATCACGTCAACTGCTCTAACCACTCCTGTGTACACCCAACCACTCTAAATCGCCTTGATAACACCCATACAGGTGAAAAATATGGTATCTACTTATGCCAGAAGTGATGTAAATATAGGATCTGTGACTGACAAATATCACCACATTGCCTTACATAAACATTATTTCAGTGTTTCTTAAAATTTGAAGCCCTATAAAAATTTTGGTTGGCTTTTTGTTAGGCATCTAGTGAATGTAGACTATTTTTCCTACATGTTCTTCAGTTCATTTTGTACACATTAGTGATAACATGCTGTTTTCGGGTACATAATTACCATGTTATCTGGCAGTCAATGCATGTGCACAGTGTTTTTTTTCAGAAAAGGATACTGAGGCTGATCCCATGTTATCCAAAATCTTTCTTACGAAGAGAGGCTAAAGGCACCGAATTTGCACTCTCTGGTAAAGTGTAGAATTAGGGAGGACAAGTGTGAAGTACATAAGTGGAAAAACAGAATAAATAAAGGGAAAACAAAAGTGTGTTGAAAATATTTAACCAAGACAGGTCTCACAGCAATGGATTTAGGTTAGAGAAATTTGGATTTAGAAAGGATATAAAAAAAAAGCACCGATTTGGTAATCAAGATAAGGATGAGTGGAACTAACTCTCAAATACCATCACTGAAATGAGAACTTGGGAAGCTTTAAAAACAGGTTAAACAGATACATGAGAGAGTGTGGTTGGGTGTGAGATGAATCTGCCTAGCATGGTTCAACAGGCCTCATACAGTGCTCCACTATTCTTCTGTTCCTATGAAATACAGTTATGAAAATTGTTATAAAGGTTAGGGAAATCAAGTTTTTAATATAATGTAAGGTTATGCTAGACTGCAATGCTAGCTTTGGTCCAAAAGTACAAAGACACAAAATTTACATAACTATATATATACTTCACTCATTTTCTTTGGGGGTCAAATTTTCAGGGGATCCACAAATAAAATCAAGAACAAATAAGAACCAACCTTCTGCTTTTTTTCTTGTTCCTTGAAGCGCTTCATAATATCTTGGCAGCCTTCTAGATTCTCCTCAGGCTCCCATGTGTTATATTTGGGGCCCCAATCCTTCCACTGAATTAAATACTCTTTCTTTCCTTTTTTTTCACGTTCCTCCAAAATTTTTTCAACCTATATAAATATAAAGAAAATCAATTTAGTTTAATTTATATCTTTGTTCCTCACTATAGTTTACATGAAGACTTGCAGTGTATGCTACCCCATGGTAGCATACATTGCATACTAACCCACTGTATCTGAGTTGTGTCATGTTACCTTATTTTTAAACACCTTACATTAGCCTGTATGTGTTTCTCTTTGAATTTTCTTTCTAGTTCCTCTGAAGACAAGCATGAATACATAACAGCATTCAATTTTTTAATTCAGTTACGCCCAAACACCAGTATATTTTTACCTCTAATTTTTTTTACCACATGGCCGTCTCTCACCAAGGTAAGGAGACCCAGAAGCAAATCATTCACCAACTGTCATTCAACAGCTATCTTGTCAGAAATGTGCAGGGTTCACAATTCAAACGACTAACATTCTCACCCCTTCAAAGAGCAGCCAATAACCTTCCAGTCCCCCAGAACTCAAGTCCAGCTGACCAGTTTCCCTGAAACCTTCATAAATATTATCCTACTCACACTCCAATAGTACTTAAATTCCCTAAAACTACTTTTCCCTACTAACCCTGATCTAATACACTCATACATGCCTGTTGGATGCTCAACCCACTACCAGTTTACCTCCTAATACCCTCCCTCCAATCCTTCCTGGGATAACCCCCCCTCTTCCCATTCTTCCACTTAGGATTTATACACCCTTTTGATCACCCCACTCTGCTCCATTCTTTTTAAATGCCCAAACCCCATCAACTAACCTTCTGCCTTCTGAACAATACCTTTCCTACCTACCTGGAGGGTATTCCGGGAATCAATGCCCCCATGGCCTGATTCACGACCAGGCCTCCCGGTGGACCAGGGCCTAATCAACCAGGCTGTTACTGCTGGCCATACAATGTCTAATGTATGAACCACAGCCCGGCTGATCTGGCACCAATTTCAAGTATCTGTCCAGTTCCCTCTTGAAGCAGCCAGGGGCCTATTGGTAATTCCCCTTATGCATGGTGGGAGGCTGTTGAACAGTCTTGAGCCCTGGACACTTAGTGTTTTCTGCTATTGTACCAATGGAGCCCCTAATTTTCATTGGGGGCATTTTGCACCGCCTGCCCAGTCTTTTACTTTCATAGGGAGTGATTTCTGTGTGACGATTCGGGACCATTCCTTCTAGGATTTTCCAAGTGTAGATTATGATATATCTCTCTCGCCTGCATTCCAGCGAATACAAGTCAAGTGCTTCCAAGCGCTCCCAGTAGTGTATGTAGTTTTAAAAACAGGTTAGATAAATACTTGAGTGGGTGTGACTTAAACCTGACTAGCTTATGCTACTAGGTCAGATGCCATGCTCCTTCCTTAAGTGAATGTGACCTGACCTGACTAGGTTAGGGTATTGGCTTAAGCCAATAGGAGAATTGGACCTGCCTAGCATGGGTCAGTAAGCCTGCTACAGTGTTCCTTCTTTCTTATGTTCTTATATGTGCAGTAAAGGTTCTCTGTACACTCTCTAGATCTGCAATTTCACCTGCTTTGAAAGATGTTAATGTATAGCAGTAATCCAGTCGAGAGAGAAAAAGTGATTTGAAAAGGATCATCATTAGCTTAGCATCTTTTGTTTTGAACGTTCTCATTATCCATCCTATCGTTTTCTTTGCAGCTGTAATCCTTGAAAGTGAGATCCTCAAACATTACCACTCCCAGGTCCCTCACATTACTTTTCCGCTCTGTTGTACGATCAGAGTTTGTAGTATACTCAGTCCTAACACTAGTCCATTTACTAATTTCTGTGCTTTAAATTCTATGCATGAAATTCACATCACACACAACTCTCAAGCATGACACCTTCACTGCCTCCTGCTTCCTCCTCATTTCAATTCTTAAAAACTCATGCTTTACACCCATATAAGAGTGTTGGTACCACTATACTCTGATACATTTTCCTTTTTGCCTCCATGGCTCAGGTTAGGGTATGTAGGAAAGAGGGAGATTATTTTCCAGCAAAAGTAGACCTTAGACAGAGATGCACGATGTCACCAGAGTTGTTTAACCCTTTCAGGGTCAGTCCTGTATATGTATGGTTGATAGCCAGTGTCAGTCCAGTATTCATATGCCAAAATTCTAACAGTGGAAGAAAGCTGGTAGGTCTACATATGAAACAATGGGTCTGTGTGGCCAGTGTGTACAGTATAAAAAAAATCCTGCAGCACGCAGTGCATAATGAGATAATTAACTCTGACCATGTTTTTGATTTAAAACAGTGACTTTGCAGTGTATTTTCATGTGGTATTTATGGTTGTATTCTCATTTTCTTGGTCTCATTTGATAGAATGGAAGATATATTACAGAAATAGAGATGATTTTGATTGGTTTCACAATGAAAAGTACCTTGAAATTGAGTTCAAAGTAGCAGAAATGTTCGATTTTTGCCAATGTTCAAGAGTAAACAAATCACGCCACGTGTCCAATACATGTCAACTGGTGAGTCTAATATTCTTTCACAAATGTGCTGATATTATTTATACCATTTTTACAATAATGCAGTAGTCTGCATAACAAGGATATAGGAAAGCACTGGTTTGGTAATAGAGTTGTGGATGAGTGGAACAAACTCCCGAGTACAGTTATAGAGGCTAAAACATTGTGTAGTTTTAAAAATAGGTTAGATAATTACATGAGTGGGTGAGAGTTGGACCTGACTAGCTTGTGCTACTAGATCTGATGCTTTGCTCCTTCCTTAAGTGGAAATGACCTGACTAAGTGGGTCATTGGGCTAATCCAGGGGAGGGGACATGGACCTGCTTCGCATGGGTCAGTAGGCCTGTTGCAGTGTTCCTTCTTTCTTATGTTCATAAGAGTAAATCTTCTATTTTTTGCGAGAATAAAAATTCAAAATGGAAGGCAAGAGTAACATAAGAGGGGCCTGGAGACATGACTAATGAACATAGAAAATGTTATTTTAGTGCCAAGAATGTGTCTTGAGTATGTATTCTGGACCCTATTTTTAAATTGGCATCTTTTGAATTTGGTTGAAATTGGCCAAATTGCCAATTTCTGACCACTTTACTGTTACTGGGTAGTTGACATCAGCAAATGGGTGGTTCCTTGTACTCGATCAATAGAACAAACGGAGTTCTAGCAAAATAGTTATGATTTTAGTCGAATGGAACAATTGAACTGGCCGAAAATAGGGCTCCAAGTGGGCGAAATCGCCGCTGCACAAATATCGCTAACTTCACGAGAACATAATTTCACAAGTTTTCCATCAAATTTCGTACTTTTGGTGTCATTACCATTGGGAAAAAATTCTCTATCATTTCTAAGATTTTTTTTTTTTTTTAAATTTTCAACCTTGAGAGTGAGTTAAGGATTGGAGGTCTCGACCCTCAAAGGGTTAACATATTTGTGGATGGGGTTATAAAAGAAGTGAATGCCAGGATGTTGGGAAGAGGTATGGGATTAAAATATATAGAATCTAATACAAAGTAGGAGTTGTTGCAGCTGATTTTTGCCGATGACACTGTGATTTTTGGGAGATTCTGAAGAGAAGTTGCAAAGGTTGGTGGATGAATTTGGGAGGGTATGTAAAAGAAGAAAATTAAGAAAATATTGGAGAGAGAAACAAGATGAGCGTAACAAAAAAATTAGGTAATGAAAGACTGGATATCAGATTGGAAGGAAGGAGTATGAAGAAATGAATATGTTCTGATATTTAGGAGTAAACTTATGGGAGAAAGATCTATGATACCTTTGAAGAGTTTCAAGAGTTTCTCTACTCTCTGAGCCCAGCTTGGGTCAAGCTCATCTGGCGCTTGCCTGGTCAATCAGGCTGTTGCTGTTGAAGGCCCGCTGCCCCACATACCCATTACAGCCTGGTTGATCTGGCACCTGGTGAAGATACTTGTTCAGTTTCCTCTTGAAGGCTTCAACACTTGTTTCAGCTGTGTTTCTGATATCTTTTGGTAAGATGATGAATAGTCTGGGACCCCAGATGTTGATACAGTGTTCCCTTATTGTCCTCACCAAACCCCTGCTCCTCACTGGGTTTATTTTGCACTTCCCCCCATATCTCTCACTCCACTATATTGTTATGGCATTGTGCAGATTTGGGACCAGGCCCTCAAGTACTTTCCAGGTATATATTATCATGTATCTCTCCCTCCTCTGCTCCAATGAGTACATATTCAAGACTTGAAAGGTGTTCCCAGTAATTTAGGTGCATTACTGGCTCAATGTGAGATGTAAACGATCTCTGTATTTGTTCCAGCTCTGATATTTCTCCTGTTTTGAATGGAGCCGTCAGCACTAACCAATATTCTAAATGAGGGAGCACTAGCAACTTGAAGTGTCACCATCAGCATTATTTCCCTTGTTTTGAAAGTTCTTAATACCCACCCCATCATCTTCCTTGCTGTTGTGATCTTTGTCTTGTTATGGTCTTTAACCCTTAAACTGCCCAAACGTAGATCTACGTTCACGTGCATAGCGCTCCAAACGTAGATCTACGTTTTTTTTTTTACATGCTTTCAAACGAAGAAATAAAGGACAGAGTGCTACATACATAAACATAGATCTACATTTCGACAGTTTAAGGGTTAAAAGAAAGGTCAGGTGACATAATTATTTCCAGGTCTTTTACGTGTTCCTTTCACTCTATTTGGTGACCCTCTTGAGTTTTGTATATAGTGTTCCATTTGAGTTCATCATTCTTTCCATATGTAAGCAGCTGGAACTTATCACCACTGAACGTCATGTTGTTCTCCACTGCCCACCAGAAAACGCTGCTTATGTCTTCCTGTAATTTTTCAATGTCCTCTACCATAGTGACTTTCATGCTTATTTTAGTGTTATCTGCAAATGATGATACAAAAGTGTGATGGGTGTTTTTATCTATATCTGCTATTAGGAAGAGAAACAGCAGAGGTGCCAGGACAGTGCCTTGGGGCACTAAGCTTTTTACTTTGATGCTGGATCTTACTCTGTTTACTACTACTTTTTGTGTTCTGTGTTAGGAAC